TCTATGTTGTTACAGAACCCATTACTGATGTGAATACTATTAATTTTTCTGAAAATAATTACCAGAGTCAAGAGTGGATTCTTGATTCTGGTTATACCTTCCATATGACTTCTAAAAGATCTTGGTTAGAAAGTTTTAAAAACATAAATGGAGGTGAGGTAGTAATGGGTAATAATGCAGCCTGTAAAGTTTTAGGAATTGGTAATGTGACTTTGAAATTTGAAAATGAATATATCTTTACCCTATAGAGAGTAGGATATGTCCCAGATTTAAAAAGAAATTGAATTTTAATGGATAATCTGGATGACATTAGCCTACAAGCTAAGCTTGGTGATGGCCTATTAAAAGTAATTAAAGGCTCTCTTGTAATATTCAAAGGTGCCAAAAGAAATGGAACATATGTCACTAGAGCTGACGTAATTTCAAGTCACACTGCTGAAGTTGATGCCACCTTAAAATGACACAATAGGTTAGCACATGTAAGTGAAAGAGGTCTGCACATTTTGAGTAAAAAGGGTGTTCATGGAAAAGATAATATTTCAAAAATTTCCTTTTGTGATTATTGTACTCTAGGAAAATAACATAGACTTCACTTCAATACAGTATGAGACTACTTCTGTGTTGGAGTATGTACATGTTGATTTGTGAGGACCCTCATCTACCATCACTCAAGGAGAAAATAAATATTTTCTATCTTTGATTGATGATTTTCAAGAAAGGTTTAGATTTTTCTGTTAAAACAGAAGTCAGATACTTTTGAAAAATTTAAAGGTTAGAAAACCTTGATTGAAAATCAGAATGGGAAGAAAATTGATAAACTAAGAATTGATAACAGTCTAAAATTTTGTAATGCTGATTTTTGATCAATTATGTAAGGTTAGTGGCATCTTTAGACATAAAACTATACCCTATACCCCTCAACAAAATGGAGTTGTTGAAATGATGAATAGAAAAATTCTAGACAAAATTAGATGCATGGTGATTAGTTCTGGAGTCCTAAAGTGTTGCGGGAAGAAGTTGCTATGACAGCAGTGTACATCATAAATAGAACCCCTACTAGTGCCTTAGATGGTAGAACTCCTGAGGAGGTGTGGTATGGAAAAATATCATATTATACTCACCTTAAGACTTTTGGTTGTGTAGCCTTTTCCCATCAAAGTGTTGGTAAATTTGAACCTAGATCCCTAAAATGTGTTTTTATGGGGTATCCTAGGAGTGTAAAGGGCTACAAGTTGTGGGATAGGAGTGTTAAGGGGTTTAGAATAATCACAAGTAGGAATGTGACCTTTAATGAGTCTGACATGCCCTGCATATCTGAGAAATATCATGAAACACACCTGTTGAACATACTGATGAAGTTCAGACTGAAATCGAGGAAGTTTTAGAAGTTGAAATAGAGGAAAAAGTGCCTGTTCAAGAAGTAGGTGAGGAAGAAAATCCTTTAGAAGGTTACCAGTTTACTAGGGATAGGGTTAGAAGAGAGATAAGACAACCCTTGAAAATGAGAGACTACCTATCCTTAGCTTTATTGTCCTACCAAGATCTGGCCTTTAAAAAACCTAAAACATATGAGGAGGCAGTGAGTTGTCAATTATTAGATGACTGGAAATTGGCCATGGGTAAAGAAATGAGCTCTCTATTGAAAAATAATACTCGGACTTTGGTTCCCAATCCTAAGGATAAATCCATAGTTGATTGTAAATGGATTTATAACATAAAAGAGGGTAATAATTTGAAGCAGCCTATTAGGTTTAAAGCCAGATTAGTTGCAAAAGGATTCACACAAAAACCTGGGATAATTTTCTCACATGTGGTTAAATACACAACCTTAAGATTCATGCTTGCTTTAGTAACACATTTTGACTTAGAAATTGAACAAATGGACGTCAAAATTGCTTTTTTGTATGGAGACTTGGATGAAACCATTTATATGTGTTAGGCACTTGGTTTTATTGATACTAAGAAATCTAAACATGTGTGGCTATTAAAAAGATCTTTGTATGGGCTTAAACAACTACCAAGACGATGGTATAAACGCTTTGATAATTTTGTGTCATCCGTTGGTTTTCTTAAAAGCTTTTTTGATCATTGTTTGTACTTTAAAGAGGATAAAAATGGTCTGTGATTGTTTACCTGCTTCTGTATGTGGATGATATGTTACTAATAGGGCAACATCTAAGTGATATTAATGATATTAAAGGTTTTTATGCTCTGAATTTGAAATGAAAGGCTTGGGACATGCTATAAGAATTTTAGGCATGGATATTAAGAAAAATAGATCTAAACATGTTCTTTTTCTATCACAATCGGCATATGTGGAAAAAGTATTATCAAAATTTGCTATACATGAATCAAAGTTTGTTACTTTACCACTTGGAAGCCATTTTAAATTGAGTAAAGATCAGTATTCTGTTGATGAATCTGATGTGAAATATAGGCAAAAGGTTTCTTATGCTAATGATGTGGGGTCTATTATGTACACTATGGTGTGTACCAGTCCTAATGTTGCTCATGCCATCAGCACCTTAAGTAGATTTATGGAAAATCTTGGCCTGAACACTGGATTGCCTTAAAATGGTTACTTAGATATCTAAACGGGTCCTCTAACTTGGATTTATGTTTTAATCCTTGTAAAGAAGGTATTATTTTAAAGGGATTTGTTATTTTGATTATGCGGGGGACACGACAATAAAAAATCAACTACATCTTACATGTTTACCTTGTATGGCATTTGTGTGAATTGGAAATCACAATTACAGTCTATTACTGCATTATCAACCATTGAAGCAAAATATGTGGTAGCCACTGAAGCCGTAAAAGAAGCATTATGGCATAAAGGTTTATCATGTGAATTAAATGTCCTTTCTCACACAGTAGTAGTTTACTCAGATAGTTAGAGTGCTACTCATTTATATAAAAATCTTATTTTTCATGAAAGGACTAAGCATATAAATATTAGAATGCATTTTGTCCATGATATAATTCATAAGGATTCTGTTGTACTTGAAAAAATACCTATTGAATTTAATCCAGCTGATACGGGAAGCAGGGAACTCTCTCTTAACAAGTTTAAATCTTGTTTGGAAATTCTGAAAATTGATACTGGATAATTATATGGGAAAAGTAGGTACTGGTTTCTCCGTCTTGGTGCTTTGAGTTGTGGGACCTATATAAAGGATGTGCAGAAGTTGTTTTTCTGTATTTTGAGTCCTGTTCGAGTCATTGGCATCAATGTGGAGATTGTTTAGTTTGCGATGCTAATTTTGAAATTACAACTCAAATAATGGGCTATGATGAAAACTGGGCTAGAACCATTCTTGATACTACACTTCCATTGCTCGATAACTCGAATGAAGAGGCCCAAAACCCAAGCCCATCATTTGGCCACGTGTGATACTACGGACTATTGGATCTTCTAATTAATATCAACCATGATGAGCCTCTTATGTATAATGGCGTTTGATGGTTGCCCTAGTGGACTTCACTCATTTTTCTTTTGTCTCTTGAACTTTCTAGAATTTGAGATTTTCTGTCTTCCTTTCTCCTTCATCTTCTTTGTGTTTCTCTTGAAACTTCTGTGATTTGGGGTTTGTATACTGTGTGAATAAGCGATTCTTGAGTGAGGAAAAATGGTTGATATCTGTTTTAGGGTTTTTTTTTCTTTGGTCCGTCGAGGGAGCCTCGTTCGGTTTCTTGTGTGGGTTTTGGTATTTTGGTGCTTTAGGTTTGTATAGAAGGTACAATGATTTTTGAGCCCAAATGGTCGATGAAATCTTGGTGTCAAATGTTCAGTTTGTTTTGTAACAGTTTACAGCGAATGATTTGGATACTTTGTATATTTTTTGATTTCTTGGTATAATAAATTAATAGTGTGATAAATTTTAGAAGTCATTCTAAATTTAGTTTTCTTCAATTTTGATTTTATTGGATTTTAATGAAATTCATTAAAATTTAGATGTTCCCAATTGAGATTTTAGTGAAATTCTTTAAAATTTAGGCACCCTTAATAATTAATGGATTTTATAAAGACTGCATTAATAGAAAGATTTGGATAGATTTGGATATATTTCAAGCTTAAGAATACATACAAGCAAATTTTTTGAAATTTCACTATATTTGATGAGATTCTTATGGAATTTGTAAGAATCTATTTAAATCCACAAAATTCATTAGAATTTAACTTGAAATCTATCCAAATCTTTTAAAATCCTTCTATTAATGAAATCTTTATAAATCGACTAATTATTGAGGATACCTAAATTTTAAAGGATTTCACTAAAATTTCAATTGAAGATACCTAAATTTTGAGATTGTGAAGAATTTTAAACATTATTCTAAATTTAGGTGTCTTCAATTGAGATTTTAGTGAAATTCTTTAAAATTTATGTATCATCAATAATTAGTGAATTCCTAAAGATTTAATTATTAGAATGATTTTAAAAGATTTGGATTGATTTCAAGATTAAAAATACATATAAACAAATCTTTTGAAATTTTACCATATTTGATGAGTTTCTCATGGAATTTGTAAAAATCTATTCCAATTCACAAAATTCATTGAAATTTATAATAATTTAAAATTCATTAAAATCTAAATTGAGAACACCCCCATAAAAATATGTAGAACACACCCTTTTGTAATCTATTCAAATGCACGAAATTCATTAAAATTTATAATCTTTTAAAATCTATTAAAATCCTAAATGAGGATACCCTCTTAGTTAGATTACTATGAATTACAAGAAAATCTATTCAAATTTACGACATTAAAAATTCATTAAAATCTTAATGGATGACAACGCCATACCCTACAAAAGTATAATTCTCTTATTCTTAAGTCATTAATAATTTTGGAAACAAAATTGGTGTAGGTGATTTTGCAAAACGAAGGTATAAATTTTATGTTGACTGAATGAGATTATCAGCATATATTGAAGGGCTATGGATATATAAATTCAAGAAACCCATTTGCTTGAAATACATTTCAGTTTCTTCTCCAATAAATCCATGGCTTCGTATAACTTTGCTCGTATAATTCTCTTCTCTACAATCCTTTTTGTCCTCTTCACGCCTCATCAATGTAAGTTCATTATAGACCTTTATTTTTTCTATTCTTATCAATATTTTAAAAGACAAAAAGTGTGATAAGGCGACAAGATCAAATCTAGGTAACGTCTAAGCAAAATCTAGATGAACTTTTTAGAATGGTGATTCGAAATTTTTACTCATGGAAAAGAGTTATATTTGCCTTCAAACTTGACTTTCAAGCATTTCCTTTTAGCCAAAGTCTTCAGCAAAGCATTAAGCACTTGTTTAGTCAAAAATGCCATACGTCAGTTTGAAAATACAAAAAGCAAGATTTTAATTTTTTTTTTTTTTTACTTAACATTTCTGTTTACTTCCGACCTATCAAACATGTATTTATAATGGTTGAAATGTTATTTATTACTATCTTGCCTGTATTAACTTATAATTTAGATAGGGAACAAGAATGAGAGTGAGATTTAAGAGGAAGATGTGAAAATGATAGCATGAAGATTGTAAAAGTTTTAATATATTGATATAATACTCGAGACCGGAGAGTATATACTTATAATTCTCTAAGTAATAAGAAATAAGATTTTAATATCTTTTCTGCTTAAAATTTTGTTTATTGCTATTGAGTTTGGCCTATCAAATATGTAGCAATAATGGTTCAAATGTTCACTATTAATTTCTTGTCTGTATATTTTGTTTTAATTTCTTAATTTTGATTTAAATAGGTCACATAAACAAGAACGCAATTGAGCAGGGAGACACAGAGATTATAACGCCTTCGAATGCAAGTCAAAGTGATTTAAAGGAGGAAAAAATACATCTTGATTTTTGCAAGAATGATAAGTGTACTTCTGGAAGATGCTGGTGTTGTCTTAGACCTGGCCCTTATTTTGAAGTATGCTTTCATCATCAAGATTTGTGTCAGGCACATTGCGTGCCTTATTCTCCACTAGGGAAACATCGAAAAATTTTACCATGATCATTTTATATTTGAACAAGTGTATATGTAACACATATATACACTGAATAATTTGGTTTTCGATCAAAAATATTTAAGGAGTTTATCTGCAAATTATATGGTGAAGAGACAATATTTTTATTTTAGACTTAAATAAGCTTTGAATTCTACAGAATATGTAGATAAAGTATATTTTACGAAACAAGTGGATAAAAAATTGATCAACTTATAAAAACGTATAAATTTTATCACACATGTACAAAAATTTCACACTTTACATTTGACACTCAATAGAGCAATGATATAATAAGCTTGGTCTTTGACATGAAAACCAGCAAAACAAATCATTTTTTCTACATATATAGAAATGAAACTAGGAAAATCGGTTCGCTCCAATTTCCGATATTTCCAACATACGGTTGAAAAGTTATGGATCTCATAAATTATGTGATTAAAATTATTCATTAATTTTGACTTAAATTAAAATCTAGATTTTAATTCCTGCCGAAATGGAAGTTTTGTGTCAACCACCTGGTTTTATATGTGTCAGCCACATGATTTTATAGATTCTAAGAAATCTGAACATGTGTTAAGACCTTTGTATGGGCTTAAACAACACGAAGACAATGATATAAACGCTTTGAAAATTTTGTGTCATCTTTTTGTTTTCTTAGAAGCTCTTTGATCGTTGTCTGTACTTTAAAAATGATAAAAATGGTTCTGTGATTGTTTACCTGCTTCCGTATGTGTATGATATGTTACTAATAGGGCAACATCTAAGTGATATTAATGATATTAAAAGGTCTTTATGCTCTGAATTTGAAATGAAAGGCTTGGGACATGTGACAAGAATTTTAGGCATGGATATTAAGAGAAATAGATCAAAACAAGTTCTTTTTCTATCACAATCGGCATATGTGGAAAAAGTATTATCAAAATTTGCTATGCATGAATCAAAGTTTGTTACTTTACCACTTGCAAGCCATTTTAAATTGAGTAAAGATCAGTACCTTGTTGATGAATCTGATGTGAAATACATGCAGAAAGTCCCTTATGCTAATGTTGTGGGGTCTGTTATGTACACTATGGTGTGTATCAGACCCGATGTTGCTCATGCCATCAGCACCTTAAGTAGATTTATAGCAAATCTTGGCCCTGAACATTGGATTGCTTTAAAATGGTTACTTAGATATCTAAATGGTCCTCTAACTTGGGTTTATGTTTTAATCCTTATAAAGAAGGTATTATTTTAAAGGGATTTGTTGATTTTGATTATGCGGGGGACAGGACAATAGAAAATCAACTACATCTTACATGTTTACTTTGTGTGGCACTTGTGTGAGTTGAAAATCACAATTACAGTCTATTGTTGCATTATCAACCATTGAAGCAGAATATGTGGCTACCACTGAAGCCATAAAAGATGCATTATGGCTTAAAGGTTTATTATGTGAATTAAATGTCTTTTCTCACCCAGTAGTAGTTTACTCAGATAGTCAGAGTGCTATTCGTTTGTGTAAAAATCTTGTTTTTCATAAAAGGACTAAACATATAGATGTTAGAATGCATTTTATTCGTGATATAATTAATAAGGATTCTGTTGTACTTGAAAAAATACCTACTGAATTCAATCCAGCTGATATGGAAACCAAGGAACTCTCTCTTAACAAGTTTAAATCTTGTTTGAAAATTCTGAAAATTGATACTGGGTAATTCTATGGGAATAGCAAGTACTGGTTTGTCCATCTTGGTGCTGTGAGTTATAGAACCTATATAAAGGGTGTGCAGAAGTTACTGTTTTTCTATATTTTGAGTCCTGTTCGAGTCATTGGCATCAATGTGGAGATTGTTTAGTTTGGGATGCCAATTTTGAAATTACAACTCAAATAATGGGCTATGATGAAAACTGGGCTAGAACCATTCTTGATACTACACTTCCATTGCTCGATAACTCGAATGAAGAGGCCCAAAACCCAAGCCCATCATTTGGCCACGTGTGATACTCCGGACCATTGAATCTTCTAATTAATATCAACGGTGATGAGCCTCTTATGTATAATGGCATTTGATGGTTGTCTGAGTGGACTTGACTCATTTTTCTTTTGTCTCTTGAAGTTTCTAGAACTAGAGATTTTCTGTCTTCCTCTCTCCTTCATCTTCTTTGTGTTTCCCTTGAAACTTCTGTGATTTGGGGTTTGTATTCTGCGTGAATCAGTGATTTTTGAGTGACGAAAAATGGTTGATATCTGTTTTGGGTTTTTTTTTTCTTTAGTCCGTCGAGAGAGCCTTGTTCGGTTTCCTGTATGAGTTTTAGTATTTTGGTGCTTTACATTTGTATAGAAGGTGCAATGATTTATGAGCCCAAATAGTCGATGAAATCTTGATGTCAAATGTTCGATTTGTTTTGTAACATTTTACAGCGAATTTTTTGGATACTTTGTGTATTTTTTGATTTCTTGGTATAATAAATTAATATTATGATAATTTTAGATGTCATTCTAAATTTAGGTTTCTTCAATTTTGATTTTATTGGATTTTAATGAAATTCATTAAAATTTAGATGTTCCCAATTGAGATTTTAGTGAAATTCTTTAAAATTTAGGTATCCTTAATAATTAATGGATTTATAAATACTGTATTAATAGAAAGATTTTAAAAGATTTGGATAGATTTCAAGATTATGAATACATACAAGCAATTTTTTTGAAATTTCACTATATTTAATGAGATTCTTATGAAATTTGTAAGAATTTATTTAAATCTACCAAATTCATTAGAATTTAACTTTAAATCTATTCAAATCTTTTGAAATCCTTCTATTAATAAAATCTTTATAAATCCACTAATTATTGAGGATGCCTAAATTTTAAAGGATTTCACTAAAATTTCAATTGAAGAAACCTAAATTTTGAGATTGTGAAGAATTTTAAACATCATTCTAAATTTAGGTGTCTTCAATTGATATTTTAGTGAAATTCTTTAAAATTTATGTATCCTCGATAATTAGTGAACTCATAAAGATTTCATTAATAGAATGATTTTAAAAGATTTGGATTGATTTCAAGATTAAAAATACCTATAAGCAAATCTTTTGAATTTTTACCATATTTGATGAGATTCTCATGGAATTTATAAAAATCTATTCAAATTCACAAAATTCATTGAAATTTATAATAATTAAAATCTTAGTTGAGAACACCCCCATAAAAATATGTAGAACAAACTCTTTTGTAATCTATTCAAATGCACGAAATTCATTAAAATTTATAATATTTTAAAATCTATTAAAATCCTAAATGAGGATACCCACTTAGTTAGATTACTATGAATTGCGAGAAAATCTATTCAAATTTACGACATTAAAAATTCATTAAAATCTTAACGGATGACACGCCATATCCTACAAAAGTATAATTCTCTTATTCTTAAGTCATTAATAATTTTGGAAACAAAATTGGTGCAGGTGATTTTGCAAATTGAAGGTATAAATTTTATGTTGATTGAATGAGATTATCAGCATATATTGAAGGGCCGTGGATATATAAATTCAAGAAACCCATTTGCTTGAAATACATTTCAGTTTCTTCTCCAATAAATCCATGGCTTCGTATAACTTTGCTCGTATAATTCTCTTCTCTACAATCCTTTTTGTCCTCTTCACGCCTCATCAATGTAAGTTCATTATAGACCTTTATTTTTTTCTATTCTAATCAGTATTTTAAAAGATGAAAAGTGTGATAAGGCGACAAGATCAAATCTAGGTAACATCTAAGCAAAATCTAGATGAACTTTTTAGAACGGTGATTCGAAATTTTTACTCATGAAAAAGAGTTATTTGCCTTCGAACTTGAATTTCGAGCATTCCCTTTTAGCCAAAGTCTTCAGCAAAGCATTAAGCACTTGTTTAGTCAACAGTGTTGTACGTCAGTATGAAAATATAAAAAATCAAGATTTTAATTTATTTTTTTTTTACTTAACATTTCTGTTTATTTCCGACCTATCAAACATGCATTTATGATGGTTCAAATGTTATTTATTAATTTATTGCTTGTATTAACTTATAATTTAGATAGGGAACAAGAGCAAGAGCGAGATTTAAGAGGAAGATGCGATAATGATAGCATGATGATTGTAAACATTTTAATGTATTGATATAATACTCGAGACTGGAGATTATATACTTATAATTCTCTAAGTCTTAATAAGAAATAAGATTTTAGTATCTTTACTGCTTAAAATTTTGTTTGTTGCTATTGAGTTTGACCTATCAAACATGTAGCAAGAATGGTTCAAATATTCACTATTAATTTCTTGTCTATATATTTTATTTTGATTTCTTAATTTTGATTTAAGTAGGTCATGTAAAGAAGAACGCAATTGAGCAGGGAGAAGCAGAGATTATAACACATTCGTATACAAGTCAAAGTGAGTTAAAAGAGGAAAAAATATATATTGATTTTTGCAAGAAGGATAAGTGTACCAATATTGGAACATGCTGGTGTTGTGTTAGACCTGGCCCTTATTTTGAAGAATGCTTTTATACTCAAGATTTGTGTAAGGAATTTTGCCCGCCTTATCCTCCACTAGGGAAACATCGAAAAATTTTACCATGATATATCATTTTATATTTGAACAAGTGTATGTGTAACACATATATACACTAAATAATTTGGTTTTAAACCAAATTTTATAAAGAGTTTATCTGCAAATTATATGGTGAAGAGACAATATTTTTATTTTAGATTTAAATAAGCTTTGAATTCTCGGAATATGTACATAAAGTATATTTTATGAAACAAGCGGATAAAAAATTGATCAGTTTATAAATACTTGTAAACTTTATCAAACATATACAAAAAATTCACACTTTACATTTACACTCGATAGAGCAATGATTTAATAATAAGCTTGGTCTTTGACATAAAAAAGGGCAAAACAAATCATTTTTTCTACATATACAAAAATGAAATCAGGAAAATCAGTTCATTCCGATTTCCAATATATGGTTGAAAATTTGTGGATTTTATAAATTATGTGATTAAAATTAATCATTAATTTTGACTTGAATTAAAATCTAGATTTTAATTCCTATTGAAATGAAAGAATTCCGAATTGTACCC